TAAAACTCTTATACATGAGTTGCTGTGGATTTGTTTCTCTAAAGTACCCAGACAAATACACATAGGAATTTTTCTTCAAAGGAAAGTAATATACTTTTGAACTTCTGATATGTAATACAAACAATGGAATATATGAATAGGTATCTATGGTTTACTAGGGACAGCAATTATGGCCATGCATTTGTAATACAATTTATCCCAAGTAAACAGATAGAAGCTATGTATAGGGTTTTCAACAGCTTCTACCTCTGAAGTGGGTACCAAGCCCTTCTTCATTGGCTGTTCTTTGTCTGAAAGCTACACTGAAACCTGTTCTTTATGGGAGATTGTGCCAGCATTTGAAACACCTGTGACATTGCTTCTAGCATAATAGCAGCACACAAGCCATTCAAGTATGACAAACTGACAGACAAGTGGTGCTGCAGTACATTGACAGGGAACAGCTAGAAGTTGAGGCTGGATTCAGAAGAGGACATAGAACAAGGTATATTATTGCTGATGTCAGATAGATCTTGGCTCAAAATAGAGAATACCAGAAAAATGTTTACTTGTGTTTCATTGATATTGCAAAGCATTCAACTGTGTGGACCATAATAAACTGGGACAATCTTGTGGACAGGAATTCTGGAACCGCTACTTGTGCTCATGTGGAACTTGTACATGGTTCAACAGGCAGTTGTGCGAACAGAACAAGGGAACACTACATGATTTAAAATCAGGAAAGGCGTGTATTAGGGTTGTGTCTTTTCACCATACTTGTTCAACCTATATGCTGAGCAAATCTTTAGAAAAGCTGGATTATATGAAGAAGAATGGGGCATCAGGATTGGAAGAAGGCTTATTAACAACTTGCCATTTGCTGGTGACACAACCTTGCTTGCTGAAATTGAAGAGGACTTGAAGCACTTGCTGATGAAGATAAAGGATTGTATTCTTCAATATGGATTACAATTCAATGTAGGAACACCAAAATTCTCACAACTAGACCAATAGGTAGCATCACGATAAATGGAGAAGTTGAAGGCAAGGATTTTGTCTTGCTTGGGTACACAATTGATGCTCATGAAAGCAGTAGTGAAGAGATAAAAAGACATATTGCATTAGGTAAATCTGCTACGCCAGGCCTCTTTAGAGTTTTGAAGAGCAAGAATGTTACTTTAAAAACTAAGATGAACCTGACCCAAGTCTTATTATTCTCCATTACATCACATGCATACAAAAGTTGGACATTGAATAACAAAAACCATAGATCAGTGCATTTGAAATGTGGTGCTGGAAAATATTGAAAGTATCGTGAACTGCTAAAAGGACAAACCGATCTGTATCTAAAGATCTAAGACCAGAGTACTCCTTAGAAGCAAGGGTAGCAAGAC